CATGTGTCCTATGTATTTGCTTGGCCTCGGGTTTTGTTTAATCCTTTCAAAGGCCCTTTTGAGGGACGTTTCAACATGACTCCTTCTCTGCAAGGCAGCCTCCAGGAAGCAGCCGTGATGTCAGGCCCCTTCACAGCTCAAGTAGTGAGTTCACATAGCGTAAGAATCTTCTGGGTTGCATCTTATGAAAAAAAATCCACTGCCTTTTTATAAGAGAACAGAACATTTACACAGTCTTGTTGAGCAAATGAACGTTCAAGTGGCCGGCACAAAAGCAATCCCGATCTGTAGCCTCACAATGCAGCCGCCACGGACAAAAGATCACGGGATACCAGGCACACTAAACTGGAAGTGACACAAAACCGCAGCAGCGTCCGCTCACACTGGCGGTGGCTCCTGGGGGATGAGCTTCATACAAAGGGTCCTGGTGCCACACTCAGCCTGCAGAGCTCCGAGGAGCAGAGGTGTTCCCCTCTGCTCCAGTGGCATTTATACTGACGGCGTCCTCGAAAACTGATGGACGCAGGATCCATGTGGACAGGGGGCCGCTGACTGGTGAGGTGGTCCCTTGGCTTCCCTTAGAGGTGCGGGCTGACCCTCCCCATGAGAATGGGCAGGGCTTTTGCTTCTGTTCCCAGGGAGATGGTTAGGAGTGGGCGGCACAGCTCTTCACCCGGCCCCTCTCCCCGAGGTAAGGAGATCCCATTAGTTCTTGTAATTGATCCCAGGGCCGTGGGGGCCTTGCTTAGCCAGCCCAGATGCCATTCACGCAACTCAACGTCCAACATGGCTGAGCCCTGGACCCGCAGCCTCACGCCGCACCATTTTTAATCAGCTATCTGAGGGATATTTATCTAATCAACAAAGAGTACTGTCAGAAGGAGACCAGAGGTGACATTAATAAGCCTGTGGTTTCCTGGTACAATGATGGAGGAAGAGTTTAGGATAAACCCCTGCTCATCTGAGCATGCCACCAGACAGAGGAATATTTTCATTCCATTTATAGAGCTCGTCAGAAGAGTCTCATGGGGAAATCCACTCTGTGACTTGTTCTCAGCTTTCACATGCTGTCGTAAAATAAAATACTATTCTTAGAGAAACAAATTCACAGAAGTTTCCCTTTAAAATTAAATTTCAAATCCCTTGCAATTGCCTGAGCCTGTATGAAAAACTGCCTCTTCCAGAACTCTGGAGATGTGTGATAATTGGGCATTGTTACCTCTGAGCGATTCCAGCTACTCTCGCTTGGTCGAAAGGCGTGATTTGCACATTTTTCCTTTCTCTGTCTCTCTTTGGAAAGATTGTGGCTGTTAGTAATTATGAGGAGTTGAGTGTATTAGGCTGCACTCATTTGGTCATCCAGACTTTGTAACTATCAGACACCTTAAAGACTTCATGCTTTGTAACTATCAGACACCTTTAAAAAAAAGTCCTTTGAATTAATTGATACTGATCTTTCTTGGTAAGGTGCATGACTCAGGTTAGCGACATGCACCCCACCTGCCAACCCGGTGGCCCAGTAACTAGAAAACCAGCTAACAGCCAGGACACTGCTCCACACCAGTGTGTTGGTGCCAGAAGGTGCCACAGTAATTTCTCCCTGTCATTCAAGGATCACCTTATAAATTGGGTCTATCTACACCTTCAGTGGGCATTAGCAGCAGGGCTCTGTGTTCTTCTTAAGAAAATTGACAGTACCACTTTTATTTCCATGAGGTCAACCTTTTATCTTCTGAGTTTGGTAATGAGTCTGCACGCTCAACCTGAGTTCTTCAAAGTTTTGGACCTTTTAATCCCCAGAAAAACGCTCTAAGGGGCATGGTGAGGAGTTTTACATCTCTCCCATCTTAAATTCTCACCCTTCTGCCTTGCTTGCTTGCTACCTCTTGCTGTGACATTCATGTAGCAGTCTTGTGTGTAACACGCAGTTCACTTTCGGCACCAGTGTGGGCATGTTGTCCTGTTGCTGGCTCCCTTTCCCCAGGATGGTTCTGCGCGCCAGCAGGAGAGCTCAGAAAATTCCATTTAATTTGCAAGCTGATGCGAGAAGAGCGCACACTTGCAGTCTGCACTCGGGCTGGCAATTAGTTTGCACCAGATCTGAAGTGATACGTCACAGGTCCTCACGCCCACATAGATTTGCATTCATGTTTTCAAACACGTGAGCCAGTGCTGAGACCTCACACTCGTGGTATAATTGCTTGAGACAAAACGACACCCATTTATGGAAGAGGACTTTGCTTGTCCAGCTAGCAGAGCTGCAGGATGAGTGCCAACGGCAGCTCAGACCTGCTGCCTTTGTGTCCAATAACAGGTGGAATTCAGATATCAAAATGCTAGCTTTGTGAGAAATGGCATTAACAACAAAATAAAACTATTGGTTTCTGAAAGTTTAAAAAAAAAAAGATCTCAAACTTTAATTAAAATAAAAATTACCCAGAAATTTTCATCTTTTGAACCAGTCCCATGAGGTTTTCAAGAGTTGCCACCTATTGCCAAAGTCAGAGACCAGCTCTGCCGACATGTGATGGTCAGTAGTGGCACATGGCACCAGGCTGGAGGGCCCCAGGTTCCCTTTGACATAGGGGGGTCTGTTGCCCCTGGAAGTGGAACTAGGCAGCATGGGATGTACCCTGAGATGTTATCGATGATGATGTGACTGTGTTTTCTCGTGGAGAAGCTTCTAAACAAGGCAGCTTAGAGCAATCAATGCCCCAGGAGACAGATGCACGTATCAGGACCTTGATATCAGCCAGAAAATGGCCATTTGTTTAAGAGGAAGAAAAAGGCATGACATTTTACACATTAAAATTGATTATTTCATCAATAGGTTAATAGAAAACCAGGCTGCAAGTTCACTTCCTGCTTATACATCCCCCAGTAATGGGAGACCAGAGCTTGAAAAATGCAAGACATAAAGAAGCCAGGGGAAAAGGCCCCTGCACTGGGAGTCCCTCCCTTCCAAAGGGTGCGCCTTGATTCTGCCTATTTATATGTAAATGTTCTAGAAAGAGGTGAGTGTTCCTGTGAGAAGTGCAGCCTCTTAGTGGCCACTTCTTTTTAGAACTTGTAAAATAACGGGATTAGATTGCAGAGCTTCAGCTTTGACAAATTAAGCACCTACTGAATTCTACATGTGCATCATTGTACCTGCAGAACCTGGGCTCTACCCTGAACAGTTCTAAAGTCAAGGTCTGAAAACTGGCCAGTGTGGTCCCCCACTGATAATGCATGGTATTTATATTGGAGGGAACCTGAAGACTCCTCCCCGGGGGTGGGATTGCCTGGGACAGATGCTCAGGTAGAACCTTGCCGAAAGTAGAAATAAGGGAATTACCCGTGAGGAATTACACGCAGATCCACATATGGGGGAAAGAGGGTCACATCACTGGTGAGAGAGTGCATTTCTTCTTAAATTTTTTGTCGATGTTAAAACTACAAGGTGATTCTTAGGTGTTCATTTGTAATAAACTGACATTTTAAATCAAGAGACAGCTAACGTCACAGCTAGTTTTGCTCTTACGATAAATTCAAAATTTGCATCCTGAACACATAGTGTTTCAGAATTGTATTTGCTTCCTTAAAGGTTTAGGTTTCTCACGTGGCTCTATAGTGTCACTGCAAAGACATCCCATGTGCATAAAAGTGCTTGAGCTGCACTTCAGCAGAACTCATCACAGAGTCCTGGTCATCTTCCCAGCTCACTTTCTGGCCACCAGAATGTGGTACAGGCCCGCCTGCCCCAAGGGCCCTTGCGGCACTGGGTGAGGTTTAGAATTCTGGCTCTGACGCTGCAGCAGGCAAGACTAGTTAACCTGTCAGAAATGCGTGGGGTCAGAGAGCTGATCTTCTGCCAGGGCCTTGTGAGTGGAAAGGCCAGCTGTGTGCACGTTCCCCAGCCCGTGGGAAGGCCTGCGTGCCCCAGGTGAGCGTGTCTCACCTCCACAGGCTGGGTTCCTCTTCCTTGGCTGTGCAGGTTGAGGGACAGATGGTCCTGTGGTGTCTTCTTCAGGAGTGTGCGTGACTGTCACTGCACTGGACCTGTCAGTATGTGAGCCTGCATGGCAGGCCCGACCGTCCAGCCCTTTGGGGTGTGGCTGTCTCCAGCCCCCGTGCCCCGAGGACGTGTTCTCCAGGAACATCCACCGAACTCCCCTTCAGTCTTGTGCAGTGTCTCCTGAAGGGCTGGGAAGAGTCCTCCACTGCCGGTGTGGCCATCCCTGAGTTGGCCCCGTGAATGGGGCAGGCAGGGTGCACTGCACGTCCCTGCAGAGTGGTCCATGTGCAGCGTGCAGGGCAGGCTGCTGTGCCCACGCTCAGCTGGCACCGTATCCCACTTCTGCCCCAGCCTCCCTCTGGCGTCTCTCTCTTGGTGAGAGCTGGGGGAAGCATGGAGCTCCCTCCAGAGCCTGCTGCACCCCAAGCAGTGACAGAATGCACTTGCCCTTCTACAACCGCAAAACTGCACCAGGGTGGTCACTGCCCAGCTAAAATCCATCTGGGGAAAACCACTTCCGTGTTTACCAGCTTTTGGTTTTAAAGACCTACGTTCTGCCACAAAGATGTGAAATGCTCATCATCGGGGTCTGTTGGTTTGACATGCTCCTGATAATTTGGCAAATCAAAGAGCTATGGCTGCTGGATCTCAGCTCCCTCAAAGGAGGCGGCAGCCCCCAAGGAAAGGCCAGTTTGTGCCCTGCCTTGAGTCCTCTCAGTTTGCAGAGGGGATGCTTGCCCTTCTTTGCCTGGGCATTGCTTTGATTTTGTGCAAACCCAACGACTCTGGCACACCTCTGCCCTTCCCGAGCCCCTCTGTGTTGACAGGGGAGTGGGGGGGCCAGGCAGGGAAGGCACCTGTCACCTGCTTGGTGAGACTGACAGCTCGGAGGTGACTGCTCACGTGCTACTTTGACATTTCTTTTCTCCCCTTTTCATTTGTTCTCTTTTCCTTTTTGTTTTCTCTCTTTCCCCCGTCTCCCCTCTCTGCTCTCGGGATGCAGCCAAACGCAAAGCGTGGAAACTAAACCGTGTTGGTAGCCTGCGAAATATATACAGCAGCAGCAGCGCCAACACCGAAGGTAACGCCTCCCCGGCCGCCCTCCTTCCCATGCAGACTGGAGATGCGGCCGCCCAGCAGCATGTGCCTTATTGTGTTTGCACAGTCATTCCTGTGGTCTTTCCATCTTTTTGTTTGTGTGTTTTATTTTACCACTCATGTTCCTTTCAGCTTACTTAAATTTTGACCTTTCCCTTCAGTCGTAGAGTAGTGATGTTTAAATTACTTCAGAAACCTATTTTCTCCTCTTTTTTCTTTTCCTTTATACATGTGGGCACTCAATGTAATATTTCCCAAGTTATTACAGTTTTTAAAAGTGTTAGTATCAGGTGTAATGATCTGTAGCCAAATACAATAGTGTGCCGTGACATTTAAGTAACAGTCTTAATTTGTTTTGTGGAAGCAGTCTCCATAATGTCTCTGCAGCTCTAATCCAGAGGCAGGCAGGCCCGGGCCATTTGCATGGGCTGCTATTGCTTGTAAATTCAGTATATTGTTGTGTTTCTAAAGGTCGTCTGGTGCCAAAGTTCACAAATTGACTTGCGTTGCTTTTTTCACCGAAGACAGCCGTCATTGCTTTTGTATAATAGCAGATTGAATTTTTCCCCCACCTTCATTTGAACAACACAATTATAAATTGCCTTTTTTTTTATGATTACAAATGTCAGGGGTCAGGATTATTTTGATGCCAGGCAAGGGGAAACCACGCCGTCCGTCCAAGTACATGCAAGGGAGCTGGCGTGGACTCTCTGTGATGCAAAACAGGTCACGGCCGGCGAGCTTGGTGTAATAGGGGGGAATTTTTTTTCACTTAAGTGCGAGCCAAATGGGTCAAGTAATCGCGAGCTCGTGCCCTACCACTAATTGACTTATTTGGGGATGATTATAACTGTAATATTTTTCTTAATGTCACTGTTTTCTGGGCTGTTGATTTTAGCGATTGCCAAGCAGTGGCATTAAATCTCTTGTAAATTTTAAATTGCACGATATTTCTGTAAACAAGTCCCTTCTTCACATCCTGGTCATTAACCTTTGCTGATTTATATCACCGTCCTCTTTTTCTTCCTTTCACAATTACGCCTGTCCTGCTGCCGAAAGCTCTGCTCTCCGCCAGGAAAAGAAAAAAGAATCTGGAAAACAGAACTGCACTTGCACAATGGCTTGTTAAAGAGCTAGTTTTTAATCATCTTTTTTTTCCATTGCTCAAGGGGGAATTGTCTGCTAAGGTGCCCCAGTGGTGCTTGGCCCGTTGATGTCTTCTTTCCAAGCATTCAGCAAAGACAAAACGGTAGAGCGGGAGAAAACAGAACTTAGGAAACAGTCACACTCTGTCTCTTTTTTGTGCCTTTTAAAAGGGACTGATGTCACTGTTGCTCGGGTGCATACCATTTCTCTTCCCTGTGCCCTTAGCAAGCGTTTTTCTTCTGTATGCCCATGGGTTTGTCACCACCAGTTGTTTACTGACTTCCAGACTTAAAAACTAGTAAGTTATAAGGTCTGTAACTATAAACTAATAAGTTATAAGTGTAATTGAATACAAAATTGGGGGCCAGTAAGGAGGCACACATGGGCTCCCCTTCTGTGAGGGCAGACGTCAGGATGCACAGGCATGCGGACCCTCAGCCTTGACCATTCAGGTAACAGCCCACTGCGCCAGGTTGGGGCCGGGAGGGTCCGTGGAGGGAGTGAGGGTTGGAGGAGGCCAGGTCCTCTCTGTGCATACTAGGGCAGCTATACAAACTCAGGGTTCCCAAGCCAGCTGTCAGTAGCTCTGACAGGCAGTCCCAGGGACTTGGGGGGACATAATGAGGGTGCAGCCATTTCCCTCTCTCCTGTTCGTCCATTTTTCTCCGTCACAGTAAGTTTCTGTTCAGTGTTCAGCAACATAATCATCCTTCATTTACTTTGGCTTTCTCTTAAGACTAATATCTGTATGCAAACAGTCTCATTTCACACAACCTTTAGTAGTAGATCATGGAATTCGCATAATTAATTCGATAAATGGTCAGATGCCCTCTGATTTCTTGCCTTTGGATGTATGACATCATTGCATGCTCACCATGACATCATCTGTGTGAAATTTGTGACCTGAGCATTCTAACTTTTGTTTTGACCCTCTGAGGCCTTGTGGGTTACACTTTTTGGACCCATCCCAAAGTGGAACCTTTTGTAGGTGCCCTACTTCAGGATTTACTCTGAAGTACCCCTAAAACACCACTGAAATAAGGTTGACCCCAGAAGTTAAGTTCTCTGTACATGGTTAGAGTAAGAGGGGAGGAGAGCACCTGTAGGAGCCAGAGGACGGCTCACACACTGTTGAACTTTCCTGGGGACACAGGTTTGTGAGAGACAGACAGGACCACAACTTGAGCCCCACAATCACTGAATTGCTTTTTATTTAGTGCCTACTTTGTTCAGCCCCTGGACTACATGATCTCCTTTCATCTCCATGGTACCCTCCAGGTAGGTATTGGGTTACAAACAGATGGTAGAGGATCCCTGGAGACAGGACTTGCCCTCTGTCTCTCCACTTCAGGCCCTACTCACAGATTCTCATGGGAGGGGTGATGGATGGAAGTCAGGAGTGGCTAGAAACAAGCTAAACATAAGCTTTCATAGAAGTAGAAGCCCATGTACAGGATTGGAAAACAAGCAAAACCATGTATTTTTTCTCTGTCCATTAGGGCACATTTAATCTCTGAAACCAAGATAGAAACTTGCCTCAGACATATATATTTTACCAAGTTTTAGATCTTGGTGGTTTTTTGATAATTTACCTCTTTCTCGAGATTCCTGCCTTCTGCAGGAACATAACTTTTGCCACAGTCTGGCTGGGCACAAATGCCGCAGTCTGGCTGGGCACACAATCACGAGCCACCACACAGCTTGTAGATTCAAACAGCAACTCTTTATTCCCGAACTCACACCAGCTGTCTACAATCACGTTCTGGGGAAATCCACGTTCTCTGCCCAAATCCACCTCCACTGGGCTTCTATCTCCAAAATATACTGTCTGAATCCCGTGAGAACTCAAGGGGAACTCAGGCAGCAGGATACGCCCTATTCCCAGCAGGAATAATCTTAAACCTTAAACCTGGAACCTAAACTGGGAACGCCCTAAACACGATTATCTTAAAACCGGGAACACCCTAATCTGCCTTGGTCCTTGAGCAAGGTCACCTACATTCAATGTCACTGCAACATGTCAGCAACATGGGGTACGCTGGCAAGGAAATTGTCATACCTACTTGGCTAATGGCTCCCAGCAAACTTTAACTTGTGCGTCTCAGAAGCCTGTGAGTGGAACAGAAGGTGGGTTAGTGATGATGCTCTGGTTAGTAGCTGCTGCCAGCCCAAGGAGATAAAAGACCTGCCTACGAGGTGGCTGCGGCCAGCCTTGAGAACATTCAACTCTGTCTCAGTCTTTCCAAGAATCCAGAGAGACTCAGAGAGAGAGAACAGGGCGGACTGTGAGGAAGAAGGCGGCGAGGGGTAGGGGGGCCTGCTGGGCTGGGTCAGCAGCATCCCTCCAGGGCGGAAGGCCCAGCCTTCTCACTCACCTGCCCCTGAGCAACCAGAAACAGGCTGAACAGCAGCACAGCAGGTGGAGCGAGGAGACGGAATCACGCAGGTGCCTGAGCTGTTTCAGCAGAAGGGAAGTACTTCCAGTGTGAGGGTGAAAGGGAGAGGTGCTGGAACAATGGGCATTTCTTGGGGTGCGGAGCCCACTGCATCTCCTCAAGACAGCAAGGTGCATATGCGCTCACAGGCGTGTCTCTGGGTGACACTTGTGCAAGGGTCAGTCATGCTTACTGTTGACCCCAAGTCAGCCCATCGTCCTGCTCTGTCTATAAAGGTCCATTTCTGTGGTTCAGAACTTGCACCAGAGACAGGCCTGGGAAGCCCCTGCGCTGGCACATCTCTGTGGCACGCGGGCCTCACTAGCTGAATCAGGACCTTGGTTCCCAGTAGGCACCACCAGCAAGAAGCAGCCGAGCTCCTGCTGGAGGGCATCTCCCTGCAGCTCCACCCCAGGCCTGCCTCAGAGGACCACGCCCACTTCCTCCACGGACTGCCAAGGAGGTCACTGCACCCCTGAGCAAGCCCGCGCAGGCCTGACCTCTTGACCATTCCTGCCCCTCCCAGTCACTGGTCACAGTCCCAAGACTCCGAGCAGAGTCGGGGTCAGCCAGTGGCAGACATGCACACTGCTCACATCTGAGCTGCCGATGGCTGGTGGGCAGCCTGCTTCTCATAGCATCCCCTCCACCAGGATGTGCCACTCCCAGGCTGGGTCCCAGGACACCTGTAGGGGTCACACTGCCCCCACTGGCTGCCCTCAGGCTCACAGCAGTCCAGGCCTGCGGCCCAGGAGAGTGTGCCTCAGGAAGAGGGAAGGTGAGGGTCCTACGCAGCCCTGGGGGCTCTGGGGTGGTGGAGGGGGAGCTGCGTCTGGGTCAGGTTCAGGAGGCTCCGTGGCCTGCAGAACCTGGAGGACCCAGGGCTGCAGCACATGGCATGGAGTCATTCCTGGCATCCTGTTGACCTGCCCAGCAACCCTGGAGGGAGGTCGGGTCCTCCCTGTTCTATGAGGGCAGTCCTGCGTCCCAGGGACACCAGCTCATGGGGCAGCCCTGGTGTTCCAGGCTGGCGGCAGCCTGCATCTAAACTATGCTCAGTGAAGAGCAGCCCTGGGCTGGAGGAGAGACGGGTGAAGGAGACCAGAGGGTCAGCAGACGGCTGTCACCGCCAGAGGAAGAGGCTGCCCAGCAGGCGGCTCTCGCTTCTCCCTGTAATGGGAGCCAAGGGGACTCTAGAAAGTGAGGACAGTGTCGGCAGGTCTTTCTGAGGAACTCCCTGCAGCTCTCAGCAGGCCCCAGCCATCTTCCCAGGCCCAGGCAGGAGTCCACCCTCCAGACCCAAGTCTCGTCTGTGACCCTTTCCCAGGCTCAGAAGAGGCTGTCCATCCCAAGTCCTCTCGCACACACTCTTCAAGGTTTTACTCTTCATCAAGAATTCAGC